CTAATAAGATTACTGACATTTAGAAATGGGAAGAAAGGAGCTAAAGGTGTAGGGAAGGTGGGATGGGTAGGGGAAGAGTAAAAAGGGAAAAGAAAAAAATGTGAGAGAATGAAAAGATGAAAATAAAGTGTTTGTAGATGGGGAGGGGAGGAGGGGGTGAAGGGAGGGCAGAGGTAAGGGGAAAAAATGAGAATCAAGACTTGTCATGTAGAGGTACAAGATCCCAACAATGAATGTAACTGTACTGTATCCCTAAAATGTACCAATAAACTCAATTAAAGCTGAAAAAAAAATATTTTTGACAACTAGCCTGGCCCTGAACTCCAGATCCTCCTATCTCTGCCCTCATAGTGCTGGGATTCTCCACATGTACCACCACACCCAGCTTTAAGAATCCTTTTGAAGGAAGGGAAGGATCCCCCTTCAATCCTGTTCTTCTAGAAAGTTGTGGGATACTATCTATGCTATATTTCAAAGGACTATTTGTAAACTTGTGAACATGCTGTTCCCTTTACTTGGTAACTTTGGGCTCTGGAGCCAATATAGTTACTTTTCTTGGAGGGCTCACAATGCAATAATTGAAAAATTGATGGAAAAATCTTCTGTGGGGGTGTAAAACACAACCCATTTATATATATGCATATATATTTTTAAATCTCATACCATCAAATTAGACACCATCTGATTGAGTCTCTCTGAATATCAGGTCTGTAGCTTTTGAAAAGATGTAGAGTGGCACTTTATTTATTACTTTATTTGAAAATTAGCTCACTTTGCCTCCTGCTTCCCATTAGTGTAGTTTTCCTTTGTGGTCTGTAAACTTTAAGAGAAGTTTCACTTAGAGATGAGATGATCAGTTTGGTCACAGCTCTGGGACTTGCATCTCTACTTAGAAATTATCCTGACCAACCCCTCACCCATCCCCCACTCTTTCTGGTGTGTCCCTCACTTCCCCTCTGCCCCTCCTTCCCTTCTCCCCCAGAATGCCTCTGACCTGCCCCCGGCTGGGGGTAACCTCTGCTCAGGGGTAGTTTTGTCTTTGCTGGGGCCATACACAATCAAGGCCTGTGAAAAGGAGGGTGAGTCTGCGGGGGGCCGGCACAAGCTGGGCTATTCGGATCTGGGTCCATTAAAGCCTTCTGGCCCTCCTTAACTCATTCCTGCTGCATTCAAGCCTGCCAGAGAGTCAGACTTTAGCCGGCACTAAAACCTGTAGGGTACAGATTCTCTGACATTGTTGGGAAAGAATTAAGGCATCAGCCAGGGACGGCTAATATTTCTTGCCTCCTTTTATTGCTGAACAGCGGGACTGTAAAGTTTTGAACACTGGAGCACTGTGGCCCCCTTTCATGTGGCCGAGATGATGGGATAAAAATGTGTTTGGTGAAGCAATTCGGATTACCACTGGGTCACATCCTTGCTGGCTCTCAGCACGGCCCTCGAAACAGCTTCACTAAGACAAGAAACAATCACTGTGTGATCGTAGCTCAGGCTGAACAGCGTTTGGAGCGTGGAAATGAGGCTAATCGTGGAGTTTGCCAACGAGCATACTTTGCTTTTAATAGCTCAGGCTGGCTGCAGTTCAGAGTAAGGGATGGATGGTGGGCTGCGGAGACAAGTCCTTGATCCACAATTCTGACAGCTCCAGAGAGCATCCTGCTGTCCTTCCGGATGCCCTTATCAGGTCTTGAGGTCTTGAACTTGCAGATTGGGATGGGAGTGTCCAGACCAGAAGTTGTTTGGGGACCTCTCTGCCACATATTCTGGGGCCACAGGTGTCCTTACAACCAGAAAATGATGGAAAAGGAGCAAGGAAGCTTAGTGTTTAGAAAGTTTGTTGCTTCTTTGGTTCCAT